ACAAACATCCGTTGCGTTATCAACGATGGAAGCTGAATATGTAGCTCTTTCTGAAGCGACAAAAGAAACTATTCATTTGCGTAGGTTAATTAAAGAAATGTATGGTGATCAATATGTAAACGTTTCTACGGATATGTTATGCGATAATCAAAGCGCTATAGCATTGAGCAAAGAAAATATGCTCCACCAAAGAAGTAAACATATAGATATAAGGTATCACTTTTCAAGAGACGCTCAAAATAAAGGTTTAATTTGTATGAAATTTGTCTCTACTGACAAAAATACAGCTGACGTGTTAACTAAATCTTTGGTGAAGGATAAACTTCTAAGTTGCGTCCGTTCTTTAAATTTAATGTCCAATTGATTATATATATATTCCGATAGAGGGAGTGTAGAAGTATCGTCATTTTATATATATCAGTTTTATTTAGATTTATCATGTGTTCACTAATTCTCGATCTATAATGCGCCTTTACCGACTGTTGTATGATTCGATCAATTCTTGTTCCTTTGTATGTACGCTCAGTGCGAGTACGACAGTGATAGAGTATAGACGTTTTATTTGAATAAACACTTTCTAAAGAAGAATAGCAAATTCTTATCCCATAACTGTGCGAATCTCTGACAAATTCATCGGGTGTTTCCATATTAATTAAAAAAATACAGAGAAGTAATAATTAAAAAAAAATAAGATAAATAAATAAATAAATAAAATAAAAAGAAACAAATAAATAAACAAATAAATAAATAAATAAAAGAAAAGAAATAAAATAAATAAAATAAAAAGAATAAAATAAATAAAGCAAAAAGAATAAAATAAATAAATAAAATAAAAAGAATAAAATATATAAATAAAATAAAAAAAATAAAATAAATAAATAAATAAAATAAAAAGAAACAAATAAATAAACAAATAAATAAATAAATAAAATAAAAGAAATAAATAAAATAAAAAGAATAAAATAAATAAATAAATAAAAGAAATGAAATAAATAAATAAATAAAATAAAAAGAATAAAATAAATAAATAAAATATCAAAAAGATTCCAAAAAACGAAGACAAAAGAGAGACGTAGACAAATTGGAAAGATAAGAAGGAAAAAGAACAAGAAAGTATAATCAAAAACTAAAAGAATAAATAAAAATTGGAAATATGAGAAAATTCACAGTACCGCAATTTTAAAAGAAGAAGAAAACTTTTTGATTTCGAAGTCTCGATCACACGCGTGCAAACGATAAAGCGGCGAAGCGGATAGTGCCAGAAAAAATATGAAAGCTGCTATTTTATAAACAAAGGCATAACGTCTATTCAGTAATGTACCAACAGATAATACAATAAGGCAAATATTTCGAGAATAATAAGGGTACTTAAAAGTATACAATATATCACAATGCGTATATAAAATAATCATTATGATGTTAAATTTTTGAAAAATATATTTTTATATTTATATTTTTATATTTATTAATATATTTTTATTGACAAGAAAAGTACTAATCTTAAGTGTTACAAAATTTTATATATTTTTGCTACCACTCTTATTTTTTTTCTAATTTGCATTGTCTCAAAAAGTAATTTAAAAGATATAAAACAAAAAAAAAGGAAAATCTGTAGTTCTCATTAGTACTTTCTATGTACGCGCTTTTATGTATTTCAAAAAATCATATTTGGAAGAGAAGAATCGGTCTGCACTCTCATTTTGAAAAAAACATGAAAATTAATATTTAATTATCATTGGATTTTAATGCATTAAATATAACATAAGAATGTATTAAATCAATTTAAGTGAACCGTATAGAAATTAAATCCAAATATTCATACGTTGATATATACATGTATATATGTATATATGTATGCATATATATATATATATATATATATATATACACATATGTACATGTATATATCAACGTATGAATATTTGGATTTAATTTCTATACGTTTCATTTGAATTGATTTAATACATTCTTATGTTATATTTAATGCATTAAAATCTAATGATAATTAAACATTAATTTTCATGTTTTTTTCAAAATGAGAGTGCTCTTCAAAATGAGAAGCTGACCGATATATATATACACACACACACACACACACACACACACACACACACATTATTTTCTCGATATTAAGTGAAACATGTGCGCTTTTGTCCGATTTTGTGCTTTTTCTATGTTCTATTCTTTATATTCTTTTAATTTTACATCTTTTTATATTTATTTTATATGTCTATCTTTTCTATAATTATCTTTTCTTTAACTATCCTCTGTTCTATCTTCTGTATTCTTTGGAAATGTACAAAAATCTTTTCTTAGATTTTCTAAGAAAACATTTTTTACATTTCCTCTTGACGGAAGAGACCACCACCTTCTCGCGGTTTCCGTTGAGCAACAACATGTACTTTATTTATTTACGAATTGATAAATTATATATGCTATATTAGAATATTATTCGTTAGAGAATATTATTACCATGCATGATTTTTTGAAGGAAAAACGTACATATTAGCCGAAAGTGGATTTTCATCGTTTACATTCTCTTTCCTTCTGTCCTTTATTTGTTAAATTTGTTTACATCTTTAATATTCGTTTTTATCATTTATATTCCCTTTTTGTCCTTTATTTTTCAAATTAGTTTACATTTTTTATATACTGAATAAATTATAAACAAAAGATTTATTTAATTAATTTATTTAAATTTTTACAGTATTAGAAGGTTTATTTGATTATTATTTTTATATGATTAAAATATATTTATATGATTAAATTATTTTTATATGATTAAAATATTTATTTAATTATTTATGTGTAAATTTTGTGTGCTCTTACACGAGACGCGAAATCTGATAAACGGATCGAGCCGTTAAACGATTCTCGAGGCGTTAACTATAGCATAGCTCGAGAGGGAAAGAGACAATAGACAGTATGTGCATTCTTTTATCATGCCGCTAACAAACGATTCTCGAGGCATTATCTATAGATATAGCTATAGCTCGAGAGGGAAGGAGACAGTAGAGAGTATGTCTGCACTCTTCTACTGCCCGAAGTTTGCCGAGCGCCGAGCGCCACACGTACACAGTTTCTTCTTTGTGTGCGTAGCGTGCGGCGGGCCAAAACTGGCATCCCTGCTCGAGGCTCTTTCCCGGGATCGCTCTCGTTCTGCGCATAATTAAATCGAATCGATATTCGTTAATTAAGTCGTAGGTGGTCTCGAGTGTTGATTAATTTTAATAATCCCGCGAGATTTCGCGACGTTAAACAAGTAGTCGTCGTACCGCGTATGTGCGTACGTCGGCCGAAAATTATATGTATCGCGTGATATATGTAATAAAATTTAAATATTTGTTCTATAGTAAATATTTTATAATTAAAATATTTCGTGGAGTGAAGTGTTTTAATTTCCTCTCCTGCGAATCCGTGGGAATAATAAATCCTGTCGTACTCGAGCTGTCGAAAAATTTTTTGCCTCTCTGCTAATCCGTGGTTCTCGATAATGTCAGTGCCCGGCATCCTGGAAGTCATCTTCGCGGGTTGATCGTCTCCGAGGATCTGTAACAAAGGTAGAATAAGGTGAATAAATTGCGCGTCGCGTAAACGCGTGGTGAATTCCGCGTGTCAGCGAAGTGCGTAGAGCTGAGAACAAAGGTGTGCGTCGTAGCGCAAGCGTCGGCGCGTAACCCGACACCGCGTAGTGTTACGCTGCGGCCGAGCAACAAAGGCCGTTGCACAGTGACGAGTGGTGAGGTGAGGCAGCTGGAAGTTTCCACTGCCTGACAAAGAGATAGCGTTGTGGTGTGACCGTGGTCAGTGGTTCTCAACCTGCCGATCCGGCGTACTCTGACGCACATCCCGAGGATTCAGGATATCTCTGGGCCTCGACAACCTTGTTCGTTGGAGGATTAAAAACGAACTGGCGACCGTGAGGATATACCTAAGGTAGGATCCGAACCTTGTTTACCGATCATTATCGGGACTCGTAAGCCTAATCTCTCTGTCGTCCGGTCACAGTGATTAGCGCGAATAACGCGTAGCGACAGCCGCGATCGTGAACCTAGCATCGGTGACTTAGTCCGCATAGCCGTTCCGTTAGCGATCACGCGTTCGGGAAATCGTTCCAAAAGTCGACTAGCACGCTGAATCGTCTTTTTTGGCGACCGTGACAGGACTACAGGTCGCGTTGCGGTGTTTTAGGTAGTCGCGAACGAGTTTGTGCGCGTGTAGAGATTTGCGATTGTGCCGAGATGGAGAAGAGTGATTTAGCGAGTGAAAGTGCCGCGAAGGGAGGCGCGAGACATCGCGTTACTCACTCACCCGTGAGACACGAGCCGGTGAGAACTCGTACTCAAACGGGAAGAACGGGAACGACGTCCGACGGCAGACCCGAGGACGCGAAACCCGCGGACGGTGACGACGCGTTTTCGAGAATCCTGCGGGAGATACAATCGAGCGCGGACGCATCGTCGGAAACGATGAGCGAACTCGGCCGACGGATCGAGAGCTCGCTTGAGATAAATGAGAAATTGAGTAGGCGTATAGACGCGTTAGAGTCGGTGAAAAACGAACGATGCCGCGAAGTACGACGACCCGAATCCGTGACGGGGGAGGGTAGAACGTCGGAATGCGACGAAGTTCAACCGTCTCGTACGTTGGACGTGGGAGGAGACGTTCTCAGAGCGCCGTTCTCAGAGCCAGGCTTCCGCGAGGGGGCTGATTACGTAATCCTTTCGAGGATATACGTTACAGCGGAAGATCGGACAAGCAGAATCCGATTCGCTTCCTACGGCGATTCGAACGTACTGCCGACTATGAAGGGGTGCGGGAAGTCGACCTTATACACTTCTTCGGACGTTGTCTGCGCGGATCCGCGTGGTTCGAGGTTCGCGAACCGGAGGACATAGAAACCGCGAGGGAGGCGTTCGTACGTCACTTCTGGGACGACGAGCACCAAGCGCGTTTCCGGTTTCTATACCGGTAAATACACTGCGAGTACCGAACAAACGATGTCGGAATACGCGCTGGATATCGTTAAAACGTCCAAATATCTGGAACCCATGGGCGACCACGAGTTGATACGTGTCAAACGACACTTCGGACCGAGCGTGGCGCGCGAAGTGCGCCCGACCACGGTCAAAACTTTGGAAGAGTTCGTCGAGCTTTTAGACGAGAACGATCTGGAGCGCGAGCGGAACAAAAAACTGAAGGAAAAGGAACAATCTGCGGCGGACAAAGCCAAGGGTACCGCGAACAATAAACTCGCGGAAAGCGGTAAGAAAGCTTGGTTAAAAAATACCAACGTTATCGCGAACAACAAATTGAAAAACGATCGCGAACGTGGCGCGAATCCGACGAAGGATGACGCGGGTACCGAGTACGCGAAAGACGGCAAGATAAATGCGAAAAACGTAAACAAGAACGCGGCGGAAAGCGAGAAGGACAACGACGCGTCGTCGAAAGGGGAGAAAAACGCGTCGCGAAAAAATTTCTCGGCCCGTTCGAAAGTCGCAGCTGTCAGTGCGGAAACGAACACCGACGATTCCGAAGAGGAGGAGCGAGACGCGGGAGCGTCCCCAAAATTGGCGGCGCTGAAGCCAAAATCCAAGAAGGGGATAGCGTCGAATAAACTCAAGCGTGACAGAGTCAACGCTGAGAAATTCGCTAAGGCGACGTTAAAGGCCGCGAAAGCGAAAACCAACGCGGCGTGTACGGAAAAACCCGGAGCGTCGAGAATTGACGTCGTGAGCGACGTCAAACCAAAGTCAATCGCGTTACCGACGATGGCGGGTAGAGCGAGAAAATCGTCCGGTAAACCAAAACTAAACGAGCGCGTTGACGAAAGCGCGAATATTACGAGCGCGAATACCGTCGAGATCTCGAGCGAGTCGAGAAACTCGGCGAAAGAGACGGTCCGGAGGACTGTTTCCGTTCGCGAATAAATGCGTCGTTAGTGGAGGCGCGCGACACAGAGTTTGTAAAGAACACCACACGATTGAAATAAAGAACGAGCCACGACACGTATATTTTTTTGTATTTTTCTAGAGTTTTATTTTAAAGACACCACACAATTAAATATAGAAAGTTAATATATACAATTATTTCACAGAGTGAAATGTGAGAATGGATTCCGTCCTCGGACTGTTGAGCGAAGCAACAGAGCGGTTTTGTCGAATGCGGTTCTACTAATAGCGAGCGGTTTTACTGTAAGCGGTTTAACTAAGCGGCGTAAAGTGCGAGACTCGAAAAAGTGCAAGACTTCCTTTGGTCTACGCGCGGTGCCTATTATATACCGAGCGAATTTTTGGGCCCGTTGCGACGTGGACCAATTGATTTCATAATTTGGCGGTGACCTCAGGGCGCCGTGCCTTATTGGCCACCGATGAGGTCAGGAGTTTGAGTTTTGACAGTAGTCATGCGCGTGGTCCTTTTTAATCAGCTGATTGGCGATCAGCTGATCGTGACGTATGGGCGCGCATGCTCGTATGTAACTTAGATTTTGTCGACGGTTGACAATGTTGTTGTCAACGAGCATGATCAGCGTTTCTTTTGATGTTGGAAAAAAGTAAAATAACTTGCACGTTAGAGTTTTTTCTTATCGATCGAAGGCTCGAGAAAGTTTTCGATGCCTGTTAAATTTAAATTTAGAAATTATAATTGCTGATTATAGCTTTTGCGGATTATTAAATCTAGGCGATTTTTATGATTTTTGAACAGTTTCAAAATTTCAAACGTCGTTGAAAAACGCGAAATCCAACGGAAAATCGCGTAAAGACGGCGGCAAGCGTGAACAGGATGTCGTAGCTCGCGACAGTGGAAGCGAGAGCGATACGAGCGCGAGAATCGAGTGAAAAACCGACGCGGTTAAAACCCCGAAAAAATGCAAATCGGCGACGGACACGGAACGTGATTCGCGTCGAGAAATCTCGATCAAGTCGGACGGTCCTAAGTTAGGTACTGTTCGCGTGAAAAATATTATCGACGACGTCGACGAGGTCACGCGCGAGGACCAGGCCAAGAAGAGGGCCATCGGTTCCGCGTACGTGCACGTCGTCATCGGGTGTCTCGAAACGAAGGCACTGATCGACACCGGGGCATAAGTCTCGGCGATAACCAAAGAACTTTTCGATCGACTCGTCGACGAGGATCACGAGATGCGCGTGATACCGGTGAGAAAGTTTTCTCTAATCGGGGCGTTCTCGGATAAGGGTCAGACGGTGTCGAATCGCGCGCAGATAAAGTTCGAGAGGGAGTTCGTATGCGAGTTCATCGTGGTGAAGTCACTCGCGTACAACGTTATTTTAGGTCTGGACTTCCTGAAATCCAATTTCGCGTCGATAGACTGCGCACCCGATAACGTATTTTTGAGATTCCGCGACGGGGATAGAGTCTCCGCGAAAATCTGCACGTTCATTTATCGAGGACGTCGATAAGTACGTCGACGCTATTTTGACGAAACACGCGATTTTATTCGAGAACAAACTGGATCGCGTGAAGAATTACGTACACCGGATTAGAATGAACGACGAACGTCCGTTCAAAAAGCGTCCGTACCCGGTACCGGAGGTACACCGTGGACGAGTCCGGGAATATTTGAACGAGTTGGAGGAGGCGGGGGTCGTCGAACAGGCGTCCACCCAATACGTGAGTCCGCTCGTTGTCGTCATCAAAAAATCGGGCGACATTAGGTTATGCTTAGACGCGCGAGAGCTGAACAAGTGAATAGCCAGTGAGCATGATCAGCCTCCGACGATTGACGAGGTGTTCCGTCGCGTCGGATGCAAAAAATTCTTTTCAACCTTGGACGTCGCCAGCGCTTTCTAACAAATACCGCTGTCCGAAACCAGTAAACGGTACACTGGATTTACCTTCGACAATCAGACTTACGTCTTTAAGAGGTTACCTTTCGGATTAAAGACTTCCGGTTCGGCGTTTACACGGGCGATGCGCAAAACGTTGGGAGCGGAGTGCGACGAATTCACTATCGTCTACCTTGACGATATCTTGATAGCGTCAAACACGGCGGAAGAGCACGCTCTTCACATCGAACACGTGCTCGAAAAATTAAAACAGGCCGGATTTCGGCTTAACAGGGACAAGTGCGAGTTTTACAAACCGCAAATAAAATTCCTCGGACATACCTTTAACGAGATAAAGGCCGATATGCATGAGGAAATCAAATCGGCCATCGAAAATTTCGAGAAGCCGAGAAACAAGAAAGGTATCCAAGCCTTCCTAGGTATGGTTAATTGGGACAGGAGATTCGTAAAAAATCTCGCTAGCCTGACGAAACCCCTCGAGCGAATGCTCGGGAAAAACGTAAGTTCGCGTGAGAGGAAGAAACCGATCGCGCGTTCGAACAGATCAAACGGGCGTTCCGCGAAGCTCAGAATTTGTTTATCATCAAACTCGGGCGTAAGTTCAGAATGTACGTTGACGTCTCCAAGTACGGTCTAGGAGCGATGCTCTACCAGTACGAGGAGCGGGATCCGCAAACCGAATACGTCGTCGCGTACGCGAGTCGTAGTCTGAAGGGGGCGGAGCTAAATTATACCATCACCGAACTTGAGTGCCTTGCGTTAGTTTGGGCCTTGAAAAAGTGGTACGCGAATCTTCTCGGTAGACACGTGCGCGTAAACACGGATCACCGAGCGTTAAAATTCCTATCCGCATGCGCAGACGATAGCTCGCGCATAGCGCGATGGATGACGTTTCTCGGGGAATTCGATCTCCAGATAGAGCATATTCCAGGAAAAAGTAACGTGGTGGCGGACACGTTGTCGCGACGCAACGTAAAAAATGGATACGCTAAGAAAGAGAACGCAATCAAACGAGTTGCGGCGATCGTGAAGCCGAACGACGACATCGACACGAGTCGATGGGTCGAGTTGATTCGAGACGCGCAGACAGCGGACGAAGTTCTAAATAATCGTCTCGAGACCGAGCCCGATTGCGTCGAGAGGGACGGTTTGATAAGAACGCGCGTCGAATCGGGTGATAGGATAATCGTGCCGGATTGCGCGAGATGGCAACTGGTGCGAAAGATTCACGAATATTTGCTACATTTCGGAACCGACAAGACCGTAAATTTTGCTCGACGATTCTTCGAGCGTAGCCAACCTCGAACGAGTCGCGAGAGACGTGGTCGCGTCGTGCGACACATGTCAAAGCACGAAATATTACACGAGGCCCACGAGAGGTACCGAATATTTCGAGTTACCGAACGAACCGGGACGCGTGATATCGCTAGATATTTTTGGCCCGTTGCCACAAACGCCGCGAGCTAAGAAATACATTCTAGTGGCGATGGATCAATTCTCGAAGCTGACGAGTCTGTATCCAATGAAGAACCAGAAACTGGATTCGATAATAAACGCTCTCGAAACCGAACATTTTCCCAGAAACGAAATTCCGGTCGAGATACTGACGGATAACGGGGGGCAGTTCATCACTAACCGATGGAGAGATTTCGCGGAATCGACGGGGTTCGCGATCCGTAAAACCTCACCGTATAATCCGCAAAGTAACCCGGTCGAGCGGGTTATGCGCGAGCTGGGCCGGATCATCAGGGTCTACGCTCACGATCGTCAGACAACCTGGGACAAGATAATTCCCAGAGCCGAAAAAACGATCAATTCTACCACTCACCGAAGCACGGAGTTCGTCCCGTACGACCTCCATTCCAATGTTTCAGATTTTCTGCACGTCGATCCGAGGAGGCGGCGCGGAGCGCGGAAGAACGACGCGTAGCTGCCGAGAATCTAAAAAAACGCGCGACGCAGCGCAAAGCACAGTCCGACAAGCACGGGGAGGCACCGATCTACCAGCCTGGAGACAGAGTTTGGACGAAGGTACATCGTAGGAGCGATGCCAGCCGTCGACTAACCCGTAAGATCCATTTGGTCTACGACGGGCCGTACCGAATTCACCAGAAGATCCGGCGAAACGCCTACACTGTGGAGGACAACGACGGCAATGTCATCGGGGTGCTCAACTCGCGACAGTTGAAACCTCACAGAGAGGCCAAATTGAACCAGACCGCGGAAATTTTGATGATTGCCATCAAAACGGAGGCGGAGGACAGCCCCGTCGAGGGGATAAAAAATCTCAGTCTGTTTCAGGGTAACTACGATGCGATCCTGGAACGTGAGGAAATTTGCGTTACCGAGCTCGGTACGCAAGTACATCTGAGACTCCTACCGATCGGCAAGGAGATAAACGAGAGATGGCATCGTCGGGCGACGAGGATGGCAGCCGAGCGAATCGTCAACCCGATACGATGGTCTACAACATCGGAGAGATACACGAGAATAAACACGAACCTCTCGCGTTATCCCGGTGGAGCAGAGAGAATAGCGCCAGAGTCATCGAGGAGATGTACCGGCGCGGTCTGCAACAAACTTCCTCCGTAATCGAGCAGAAAAAGGACCCGAAGGAAGGAAGGCGACCCACCAACCTCTCGGAAGGACGACAGAACCATCGTAAAGCGCGAGGGGCAGCAAAGTGCGAACGGTGCACGCGAGAACATTATAAATATCGATAAAGTGCGCAAGTTCGAGCACCTCGGTGCAGAGCGTAAACGCGTGGTGAGACGCAAGCGAGCGTTCAAATGCGTGAATAAGCCATTGCGAGGTTCGAAAGCGAAAAACTTAATCGTTTCGTGCAGTGAAGTGTGGTTAAGATCCGAAGGTGCGAGGTTTCCAAAAAGAAAAGACTCTAAGATTAGAGACACTATATTCATTGCGTGCGAAAGTGAAAAGGTGTACAGCGCGCAAAACGCATGAGCGAAGGCGAAATAAATAAAGACATATATACCAGACTTACACTAGAGACTTATAATTTAAACGATTAGTTAAATTTAAGTATTAGTGTTAAGGATAAATATAATTCTTGCAAAGAGAACAAACGAGCGGCGTGCTCGTTAAGTCATTGGTACTGCGAG